GAAGGTGGAAACATCACTGGTGGCCTCTTCCAGATCTGAAAGTGGAAGGATCACTGGTGGCCTCTTCCAGATCTGAAAGTGGAAACATCTTCTATGTAGACCTTTTGGAGCTTACGACTTCTTCAGGAGAGCAGGTCCACTCTCCATCTCTTTTACAATTTGGCATCTACCTGCATTTCCAAATTTTGGAAAGAGGTGGAAAACCGCATAGAACATCCTGGAAGTCTCATTTTGGTTTCAACCTTAGGGGAAAAAAAACCCTTCTAAATAAAAGAGATTTAAAACTTAAAAAAAAAAAACCCTCCATCGCCATCAATCAGATAGCAAAGTTGGATATCAATCAAATAAATGCAGGCAAAATAAACTTCTCACACATCCTGAAACTTGACAAGAGGTTCTGAGTTCCCATCAATTGTCAACCAAAGAAGAGACTGGAAGCAGGAAATAAGATTCACTTCTCTGAGCCAACAAAGAGCTCAGTCCAACGTTCACCTCAGTCTGGGCCAAGAACTTGAGCAATATGGTCAGACATGAAGTAATCAAAAGGAAAGGTAATTTTATATTCTGTACCGAGCCAGGAAAAGAACGAAGAAGACGGTTTTACGATGAGTCTTAAAAAGAAATGAATGGGAGGAAAAATGTAAAAACATAGAATTCCATTTGACTTGATTGGAGCTGGAAAAGTAGAGCCAGAAAGTAGAGTTGTCTTTTGAAAACTTAAACGATTGGCCTCACAAAAATGCTTGCTAGTGACAGGAAGGTTTTCTTTTTTTAAACAAAAAAACAAAAAGGCCTCAGTGTTTAAATAAAAACCATTTTAGAAAATAAACGTTGCTTCCAAGCCAGTTTATAGTTGTTAGGATAGAAGTTGTGGTTCTAAGTGGTTCTAAGAACCACTTCCCGCCGTTCTGTAGATCTCTTAGGAGTGCAAATTACACCGAATTCCTCATTAAAGTGGAGGAAGCAACCTTTAAAAATAAAAAAATATGCAGCTTATTTACCTGCTGTTTTTTTGCTCACTTTGTTTAGTAGTTTCCGTGAGAGCCATTACTATTTAATATACATTATTTCTATTATTTGATGCTACGCTCTCTGCTTCCCCTATTCTTTGAAATTGCCGCTTTGAAACGGCAGTGATCGGTACATCATCATTTTAAAATTGCTTTTTTTCTTTTCTTTTGCAAAATCAGTGCCAACCCATTCCACGATAGATTATTATTATCTTTGTACTAGGCCCCAACCATCCTACAAGCCAGGAAAAGAAACAGAATGTTCTCTACCTGCCTTTTACTTTTACACTGGCTTGGTGAAACTCTGCTGGGCTTAAGGACGGAACGCTTTCACTGGCTCCCGGGTGCTGTTGCACAATGACTCTAGATCAGGGCTCCTCCGACTTGTCAACTTTAAGACTTGTGGATTTCAACTTGGTGGAGTTGAAGTCCACAAGTTTTGAGGTTGCCAAGTTGGAAGACCTCTGCTGTAGATCATCTCTGCCATGCACAGGATTGAAACGAGTGGGATGTTGACGTTCTTGCGTGGGGTGACAAAAACTTTTCATGGGACCTTATGAGATTTTGGGGGGGTGGGGGAGGGGGAGATTGTCCCCCAAAGATTTCTTAGCTACTGGCCAGGGGTCCTGGTTCTACTCCAACTCGCAGCTTCATTCATGCATTATTTAATTTATGTAGCCATCCAATTCACATATCCAGGTAGCCTACTTTTTATTTTTTTAATCCACCATGTGATAAAAAACCCATAAAAACACCTCCACCCCACCTCCCATGGTAGCACCAACACAATCAAATCAGCCACCCGATGGGCTCCATCTCCATTCGTGGTCCCCAGGCCCACTGACAAAACCATGTTTTTAAGACCTTTCAGAAAAACAACAGGGAGGCGGCCAACCTTACCTTGGAAGGAAAGATGTTCCATAAAGAAGGGGTCACCACCGAGAAGGCTCTTTTTTTGTGGTCCCACCAGAGGACAAGTTTTGGGATTTTTCCTTGCTTGAAAATAACTTGAGGCAAGGCTGACTCCCAACTGTGGTTCTTTCCTTCCAGATTCTGCTTGGTAATGGCCGGTCTAACTTTCCTGTCTGCCTTTCCTCTGTTTTGAAGGTTATTGTTAAAAGTGCTGAGGAATATTATTGTGTAATAATAATATGATGATTATATATGATGATTCTTGACTCTTGAGGAGTGTATCTTTTCTTTTATGTACACTGAGAGCATTTGCACCAAAGACAAATTCCTTGTGTGTCCAATCACACTTGGCCAATAAAAAATTATATTCTACTCTACTCTACTCTACTCTACTCTACTCTACTCTACTCTACTCTATTCTATTCCTTCTAATATTTATTCTATTCTATTCTATTCTATTCTACTCTACTCTACTCTACTCTACTCTACTCCATTCTATTCTATTTCTTATTCTATTCTATTTCTTATTCTATTCTATTCCTTATTCTATTCTATTTCTTATTCTATTCTACTCTACTCTATTTTATTCTATTTTATTCTATTTTAAATTCCATTCCACTCCACTCCACTCCACTCCACTCCACTCCATTCCATTCCATTCCATTCCATTCCATTCCATTCTATTCTATTCTATTCTATTCTATTCTATTCTATTCTATTCTAATATGGTCTTCCACAGGCAAACCTAGGAATAGCCAAAGACTTCCGCAGAGAGTCATTTTGTGCCCATCCTCTCCCGTGCCCATTTACCTAGGAGGACTCCCATGGAAAACTATCCACCGTAAACGTACCCAAGACGCGGGACTGATTGTCTCTTTTTAATCATTGCGCAGCGAAGATGGTCTCACTGAAATATTACTGGAATGTAACTTTCCCAGTTCTGAATGCTATTTCCTCCTCCCTCTCCTCCCCCCCCCCACTTTTTTTTCCTTGAAAGGCTACAACGATTGGTGAAAGATTTGCTGAAGCAGCTTCAGATTCAAGATGGTAGCAAAATCTCCGCTCTGGATAGGATTCTGGGAGATATTTCACGCATCCTGGAAAAAGAGGTAACTTTTCTGGCTCAATCATGTCACTTTTCTTGCTCAATCATGTCACGCCCTTCGATGCAACTCTTAATTCCTGATTCTTCCGGTGCATGCACTCTTGACTGAAGATTCACAAATCTGTTGAGTTTCTTGGATCCTCTTGGTGGCTTGGTTCACAGATCACATAGGCCACGAGCCATAGTTTGCAAGCCGCAAACTGGCTGAATTTCCCCTTTGCCGTAAGCCGCAAACAAGCCAACACTCAGGAGAAGCACAGTCAAATTCTGAATATTCATTATTATGCTGAAGGTATTTGAAATTGTGAGGTTAATGAATGGAAAAGATTAGAAAGCTAAAGTAGGCCGATGTGCCATTCTGTATTTCTTTCCCAATGTTGCTTTAAAAGAGACTCTTGACTATAAATACGGGGGGGGGGGGGGGGGAATTATTTTTATCCAGTTAATGCTAATTAGATTAACGTGATAAAATTAATTTCTCCATTAAATGCATTATTCTAAAACATTAACAGAAACTTTTTGTTTCTTTCATAAATTTAATACTCTACAGTTGTTTCAATTAAATCAACACCGCAAACCCTTTAATGCCAGATAGGGTGATATTCCATTCCCCTCCCCAAATAATTAAATTAATTGTTTTTCCAAAATCAACACATCAGGCTCTGAACAGTGTTTGCAGAGTCTGACACCCAAATGCCAGAATTTTACGTATTCAGTATGCTCTCTTATCAGTGTTTCCATTTTATTGCCTATATTTTCTGATTTTTGTTTTATCTCTGAGAGAGAGCCCTTTATCTTTTTCCACAGTCAGTTTTTTTTTAATGAAATTTTATTAAAGCAAATGATTAGCATGCTAAAACTGATGAAACCAGTTAAAGGTTCGTTCTATCGCTTGACATAAAATGTGCTGTACAATGACGTTTTGAAGGAGATTCTGATTTTTAAGACAGCCAGCTTTTATCTGGCCGAAATGTCCTTCTGAAATGACCCTGCAAGCAGGATTATTACTGGTTTGAAATCATCCCTAAAATGAGAAGCTTGCATAATTAAAATCGCAGCAGCTCCTCATAACTTTCAAAATGATGGATTGAGGAGGAAGTGTTCCTATTAACTTTGGAAAAAGGAGGGATAAATGTACTGGAGAACATGTTCCCTTCAACATTTTTCCATCCAATTTTAATTTGTTGCCCTTAAAGTCTTTGCGATCTTTAACAACACCGTTGTGAGAATCCGTAACACCTTAAAACCATGCCCTCCTCCTTAAAGCCAACTTCATGTTGATTGAGTTGAACATGTTCTTCTGCCTGTTGATTGAAAATGAATTTAAAATTGGGTTTTGAGTATCAGGAAAATAAGATCAACTTTGTGCAACTTATCGGCAACTTAACATGTGTGTGCCATTACTACAAGTAAACAGAATTTAAACAGGAGAGATTTGACCAGGAATTCCTCTGCCCTCCTCCTAATTATGCAGCCTCTTTTTAAAAATATCCAGCCAGGCTGCTGCTCCTAACTGGCAGGATGTCACACACAACCCTTCCTAAGTGAGTTCAAATCCGCCAAAGTTTATAAGCCGGTGGAAGTTAGAAGGCAAAAGGCTTCCTGACCCGTGCCGCCAAGTGTAATGTGGTACAATATCAGATTCTGACAAAGCCAGCCTCCGTTTGGGTTCATTGAAATGCGAATACCAGAAGCGGTAGAAGAAAAATAAATAAGGAGCAATCTGGCTGAAAGATTCGGGTTAGGTGACATCCATCACAAGGTCTCACCCGATTCTTCTCTGGAAAAGGAGGCCATGATGGATCTCACTGGAAGATCTCTGTGAGAGAAAAATGAGAAAAATCACACCGCTTTAGGAGCGTCCAGCTCAAACTTATTTGATAGCCCATCTATGGCTTTCTACACGAAAGGGAGGAGGAGGAGGAGGAGGAGGAGAAGGAAGGGGATGAGGAGGAAGGAGAGCAGGAAGGAGGAGAAACTTGGATAAGAGGAAGAAAGAGGAGGAGGAGGGAGGAAGTGGAGGAAAGAAGGAGGAGGAGGAAGTAGAATAAAAAGAACAAGAAGAGGAGGAAGAGGAAGAGGAAGAATTCCCCATCTTGATTTGAACAAACCAATTCCCACAGCATCTCATGCAAAAAACAAAACAAAACTGGCTTTAAAAATACTGTTTCCCTTCTTCTGATGGTTCTCTTCATTTTTTTCATCTTTAATGAAGTTTCTTTTCATTCTGCATAATCTTTTGCAATATTTTTACGCCATCCACCCAGAGTAGCCAATGGAATAAAATAGTTTAAAGTGGATTAAATTATATCGCCGGTTAAAAAGCTACCATTAGGTTTGACCTGGGAAGGAGAGTGTGTGTGTGTGTGTGTGTGTGTGTGTGTGTGTGTGTGTTTAAAGGAAACAAAACCCAAATTTTATGCAGCTTGCAACACTTCTGTAACTCAAAGGTTTATTGGGATAGAGCTGACCCTGTAATAGGACCGTGGCTTTAGTATAAATAATTTAAATCTTATACAGAAGACAAACTGTTCTTTAGGCCTCGGGGTGGATTAGGATAAGCAAACATATGTACAATATTACAAATATATGTTCTTAATTGGCCCCTGTAAGGCGAGGGTGTGTATATATTTTAACAGGAAAACATAGATTCTTGTTACTAGCATTGATATCCATCAGCTAATAGAAAAACAGATATGGATTTTCCCAGGGATTGCTATAAACATGAACTTTAAATGTTTTTTCAAACAAGCCTGTGGTTTAATCAAACCTGTATTTTCCCCCTTATCGCCAGGAGATATCTGTCTTTCAGTTGTACAGTTGGAAGTAGCATAGATTGTATTTCTGATTCTTTCTGTAATTACACCATTGCTAATTGTGTCGTAATACAGTAACCTAAACAAACATTTATTGAATTTTCTTCGCAAATTCACCGCAAGTTGTACTATTACAAGGAGACATTGGGTAGTGAATGCATAGAGCAAACAACATCGGTGAATAACGCTATTGACTTTCTTTTGTTAAAAAAAAAAATTACAGCCTTTTTCCCCCGTCTAAATAGGCTGAATAAATTAGCAACTTGGACTTGAGAGAAAAATCAGTCGGGTATTACATGCAGTAAAATAAAAATCACAAATTGAAAAGCAGAATTCTTATATCCGGTAACAAAAATAAATTCACCAAAATTTTAATCCTTAACAATAAATAAATAAATAAATAATGCTGGGAACAAAATAACTTTTTGAAAATAATTCCATCAATTTGATATCCAGCAGTTGCGTTGTGGCACAGCTCCCATCATGCCCCAATTTATGACCTCCTGATTAGGAAGATGGGATGTGTATTCCAACACATGGCTCTCAAGACTCTGAATTCTTCTTTTTTTTTACCCAAGATTTGTTTTTACTCAGTGTCAAAAAGGCCGGATGGGTCATTTCGCTGATGGTTAAAATGAAGATCTCTACACACAAACTCCATATAATTCTTCAGTTTTTATATGGCACATTTTTCTTTGTGTTCTTCTCAGTCAATGTATAATTAGCCATAGAGAGACAACCTTCAAAACCATGGGAGATAGCTGGGCTACGTTGACCCAACAATCTTCTTAAGTCTGGTTGTTATCACACAAGTTTCATTCCTAACAGGTTGGGGAAAACTGGTGTTGGGACAAGATTCAATGGGTCTTTAAACAGGGGGTTCTGGGAGTTGAAGACCCAACCATCTTAAAATTGCTGAGGTCTCCTCCTCCTCTTTTTCCTCCTTCTCTTCCTCCTCCTGCTCCTCTTCTTCCTCCTCTTCCTGCTCTTCTGCTTCTTCCTCCTCTTCCTCCTTTTCCTCCTCTTCCTCCTCCTTTTCCTGCCCTTGTTCTCCTCTTCCTACTCCTTCTCTTCTTCCTCTTCCTCCTTCTCCTCTTCCTCTTTCTCCTCCTCCCCTTCTTCACTTTTTCTTCCTCTTCCTCCTCCTCTACCTCCTTCTCCTTGTCCTCCTCTCCTCCTTCTCTACTTTTTCTTCCTCCTCCTCCTCCTCCTCCATCTTTCTCCTTAAGCATTTGTCTGCCAGCCCTGAAGTATCGTTATTCCTGTCTGTCCTAATCAATAGGGTCAGGGGAGATGGGTTTCCGCGGCTGCCATGCTGTTTCTGACACACAGCATCCGTAGTCATTTCCAGAAGCCGGCTGTAATTCTCTTGTTAAATCATGAGTTGAGAGAAATCCGTAGACACGGTTTGCTTGTCGGGAGAGGGGTGGGGGAAAGAGAAGGATCAGTTTTGAGAGTGTCAGTTTTCCTGACGAGGAGGAGGAGGAGAGGGAGACTGTTAATTGAATTTCCCCCAGGAGCATCAGAAAAAGAGAGAGAGAGAGAGAGAAATAAACCCCAGACCCCCACAACCTTACAACAAAGCCAGGAGGCGGGAACTGTCATTGCAGAAAAGCTGCTTACATTGATTTAACTTTGCTAATGGTCGGGGTTGAACAAGGAATTGCCCCTGGGGAAAAGAGACTCTGTCTCCTTCCCCCACCCCACACACACACACACACACACTCAAAACCTGTCCCTCTTAGCTTTTTCTTTAAAAAGAAAAAAGGAAAGAACCCAATTGGTACAAGCCCAGGAGCGCTTGCTTTAAAAAAAATAATAATAACATGGGCGTGGGTGTTTTTTTTTTTCCACGAGAGAAATAAAAGAGGTTTGAAGTAAATGAGAAAGCCAGTTGGGTCTTAGCGGTGAAGGCATCCGGCCAGAAACCTGGGAGACGGTGAATTCTAGCGCCACCTTAGCCAGGGAAGCCAACTGGGTGACTTTGGGTCAGTCCATCTCTCTCTCTCTCTCTCTCTCTCTCTCTCTCAGCCCAACTCCGCGCAGAGAAACCAGCCCATTTCTGGTCCTTGATCCCTTTTCGTTTTATTCGTTCATGCGTTTCGATTTTTACAGCCTCCCAACTCAAGCAAGGGGCTCTCCCGTGTTTTCTCCCAGAGTGCCGGGCACCAGGCGTAGCAACGGAAAGATCCACGTTTCTGTAGGTTTTAACCCAAAGCACTTGTTTCGTACACTTATTCAGTCAAGAGCCGGGCTGCAAAATATGGCGAAGCGCTTAAAATAACAGGCCCTTTGAGCGATTCTTCCTCATTTAAAAAAAAAAAAAAAGTGTAGCGTATGTGCGGGGAAGTTAATTGCAGAGGAAGATGAAGATTTTTGCAAGCCACGGCAAATGCGTCCAAAAGTAGAAAAAGTCACTTGACGTCTCCTTTCCTAACCCAAATTTTTTCCCCCCAAATTTTTTCCCCCGGCTTGACTTCAGGGGGAAAAAAAAAGAAGGAAACAGCCTTAAAATTCCCACTTCTTCGGCTATTATTTTGTTTTATTTATTTTTTAAAATTTAGTAAATTTTATTTAGTTTTCAAAATTTAAAAACAGAAAATTTATACCTCATTATATCAACGTCAAGACATCTATTACATTCCCTTATCACCTTTCTATATACACGTTTCTTTCATTATACAATTTCAACTTAATATATAAATAGATATAGATAGATATGAATATAGATATAAGTATTTACATAGTTTCTTCTTCTTTACCTAATTGCCATTTTGATTTCTTTTTATTCTTAAACCATTCGTACCAGGCATCCCAGACATTATAATATATCGACTCTTCTTTGTCACTTAATTTCATTGTTAATCTGTCCATCTCTGCACAGTCTAAAAATTTTTTAATAATTTTTTTATAATTCAGCTGTTATTTTAATCACCACTCCGTGGACTGCTCTGCAAATTTTTGCAAGCATTGCAAATGACTCCCCGAGTTTCCTCTCTGCTTTGAACCGCTAACACCGGGGAATTTTTTTACACATCAAGCAACAAATTTGGGGGGCTGGGCTGCAGATTCCATTTCATTTTCTCTTTTTTTAAAAAATAGACCCTCGGTCCTGAGGTCAGGTATTTACATTTCAGCCCAGTGTTTGTCGTAACTGTGAAATCTTGGGGAGGGGTGGGGGGGCGCGACTGCCAGCAGTCAGACAATGTTTATCGTGGCACAGAGACAGTCAAGAATGTCGGCTTGGCGGGTTGCAGAGGCCGGCTGGCTTATTTACACTAGAATCTGCACATTGTCAGAATAGAATAGAATAGAATAGAATTTTTTTATTGGCCAAGTTAATAAAGGAATTTGTCTTTGGTGCAAATGCTCTCAGTGTACATAAAAGAAAATATACATTCGTCAAGAGTCAAGAATTATAAGGTACAACACTTAGTGATAGTCATAGGGTACAATAAGAGTAGAGTAGAATAGAATAGAATAGAATAGAATAGAATAGAATAGAATAGAATAGAATAGAATAGAATAGAATAGAATAGAATTCTTTTATTGCCCAAGTCTGGTTGGACACACAAGGAATTTATCCTGGTGCAAATGCTCTCATGTACATAAAAGAAAAGATACATACATTCGTCAAGAGTCAAAAGGTACAACACTTAATAATTTGTCTTAGGGTACAATAGGAATAGAACAGAGTAGAGTAGAGTAGAGTAGAATAGAATAGAATAGAATAGAATAGAATAGAATAGATATTGGAATGAAGGAATGGAATAGAGAATAGAATTAGAATAGAATAGAATAGAATAGAATAGAATAGAATAGAATAGAATAGAATAGAATAGAATAGAATAGAATTCTTTTTTGGCCAAGTGTGATTGGACCCACAAGGAATTTGTCTTGGTGCAAATGCTTTCAGTGTACCTAAAAGAAAAGATACATTCGTCAAGAGTCCAGAATCATCAGGTACAGCACTTCATAATCTTCAGCAAGCCGCTTTCGGTGGGCGGGCGGCTGTTTTCCCAGGGTGGGTTTTCATTTTGGAGAGCAGCTCCGTTTCCACCACCACAACGTACGTCTTGAACCACAATTCAGAGATTCACAAGAGTTGGAAGGGACCTTGGAGGTCTTCCAGTCCAACCCCCTCCTCAAGCAGGAGACCCAGTATCTCTTCAGGTAAATTGTCATCCAGTGTCGTCTTGAAGGCCTCCAGGGACGGAGCCACACACAACCCCTGAAGGCAAAAGCCCTTCCACTAGTTCATTGTCGTAACCGTCCGGAAGTTTCTTCTGGGTTCTGAAATTTTAAGAGACTTTTCGAATGGAGATCTTGATCAAGCTTTTGAAGAGCGTGCTTCTGCAGGTCTCCCAAAGGTGCTTTTTCATGAGGCAACTGGACTTTTCTTGTTTTTTTTTCTTTTTTTGAAGACATTTCGCTTCTCATCCAAGAAGCTTCTTCAGCTCGGACTGGGATGGTGGAGAATGGAAGGATTTATATTCCTTGCAGAATATAAACTTGCAAGCTCTGACTGGATGGTGAGGAAGGATTTATATTAGGGATGTTGCAACGGTCATAAGTGTGAGAAACGGCCCTCAGTCCCTTTTTTTCAGCGCCGTTGTAACTTGGAACGGTCACTAAACGAACTCTCGTAAGGACTTCTTGTAATAACCCCGAACCAGTCAGGCTGATCAATTTTTTTCCCTGCAAGGGTATTTTCAGCTGCCTCCTGCCAGCATCTAGCTTGTCTCTCGAGGTTGAAGGAGAAGAGGAATCAAAATTTTGCTCCCATTTTTATTTTATTTTTAAAAAAAAACTTGGCTTATTTATCCTTTGGGGAAGGAGGGGGGAAAAGGCTTAATATCCATCCGTCTCCTTCCTTATTTTAAGCATCAAGTTAGGACCTCATTTTTCTTGGCACAGAAGCTGGATAATTAGTTTTGTGTGTATGGGGGAGCGTGGGGGTGGCAGGGTTGTCTTCTGGTTTTATTTACAACATTGTTAGTCTAGGATCCTTGCCAAGAATAATCGGAGTACGTTTTAGTCCTAGGAGGGTGTCTTTAAGAACGGATGTGTTTTTCATTAAAAAAAAAAATACAAATTTCCGAAAACAGAGAGATGATTTTAAAGGAGGGGTGTCCAACCTTGGCAATTTTTAAGACCTGTGGACTTCACCTCCCAGAATTCTCCAGGAGTTGAAACCCACAGATCTTAAAAGTTGTCAAGTTTGGGCAACCCTGCTTTTAAAATCTTCCTTTAGATTCGTGGTATTTGTCCGATGTTGCTCTGTTTGGCCCTTTGGCTTTCAGTCTGCCCCTGTAAGTCCTTGTTCATACAGTTTAGTATAAAATCCTAGAATACTTTCCCATTCATTTCTTTAGAATCATTTCCAGGTCGACCAACACAGAGTTGCTTCAAGATGTGTCACGAACAATCCCAGCTAACAAGTCCAAGTGTGTTGGAGCAGGGCAGAAAGTTTGATGGACTTTTTATTTTCTAGGTTACTGCCTGTTTCCTTGAGATTTTGGTAGTCCTACTGAGATCTGTGGAGTCCTTGTTGCTTTTTGAGCTCGCTTGCTTTCTTGCAGACGTTTCATGACCCAACTAGGTAACCTTATCAGTGCTAGAAGGAAGTGGGGCTTGTAGGCGGGAGGATTGTGGGGTCCTTGGTGGTCTCTGAGCTCAATTGTTTTCTTGCAGACATTTCATGACCCAACGAGGTAATATCATCGATACTCTGATGGTGTGGATGGTGCTCTAATGGTGATGGTGATCATCAGGTAGTGATGCTCAGAGAAACATCAAGGAAGCATCAAGAAACACCTGCAAGAAAACCCACCAAGTTTAAAGAGCAACAAGGACCCCACAGGTTTAACCCTGAACTGCAAATATTTTCTTCTTTTCACTAATGAGATGTTTCGGAAATTGAGCTTTATCATAAACTTCCTTTTTTTCCCCCACCCTCCGTGTTCTACCAAACTCCACAAATCACAGTGGTGAATTTCAACCTGGACCATTGCTCTTAAAGTGAGAAAAATCATGTCCACCACTAAGACTTTCCTGCTGTCGGGATGCTGACCTCTGCTGACCGATCTCAGCATTAAACCAGTTTTTTTGTTCTTGTTCTTTTTTTGCTTAACATGCGACCTTGACCAGTGGAATTAGAAGAGCCATTGAAGACACGTTGGCTCTGTTTCTCCTACACTCCAAAGCTACCTAGATATTCCTCCTCTGAATATTTTTGGTGTGAAAACTACAGAAACCTGAATAATCAACTCTTTCTCCAAATGTTTCTGCCTACCCGATACATTCCAGTAGAGTAGTTGTACTCCAAGTCTCTACGGTTCAATGTGGTCTTATGGGACCAAGGAAGCATGTCTTTTCTGTCATGGCTATGGTTTGTACAAGCGTGGTGCATTGAATCAACCACTGTTGGCTGCGTTCACTCATCCTACTAAGCTCTTAATCATGGTTTTCAACCCAACAGAGGTTAAGTTCAACCCAACCAACCAGACTCAGGGTGTGAACCTGTCCTGAGTCGTTTTACTAATCAGCCATGCCCATGTCACAATCCAGCACTCAAGTAGATAGACAGATTTCCCTCTCGTTCTCTTCCAGGGAACGTGAGGGGTGGTGGCCTTCAACCGTGAATTGATGCCTTGCTTGAAAGCAAGACCCTCCCATTAATGTACCCCCTCTTCCTTTTGTGTCCTCCTCTCCAGAATGGGGCAGATCAGGTCGCCTTCCACGTGGCTGGCGGGTTCTCCGCTCTGGAGCAAGTCCTTCAAGTTGCGACCATGTCCATCAACCTGAACTCCGTTTCAAGAATCCCTTTGAAGTAAGTCTGACGCTGCTTTGCCAGTTGTAGACCACTCAATAAATTAATGTCGTTCGTGCTCAGGATAACTTTTCTGGCTCCTTTTCTGCCTGGCTGTAATTTTCATAGCTGTCCATCTGTCGGATGGTTTATGGAGATTTTTTTATGGCTGTGTCCTTCTTGAGAAGTTCTACCTCGCTCAAAATGACATGTCCAAAGGCTGGGCTTGCATCCCTTCTTCTCAAGGAGACGACAAGGGTCAACAGCTCCCTGTATCTATCACTCTTTCTTTCTTTCTTTCTTTCTTTCTTTCTTTCTTTCTTTCTTTCTTTCTTTCTTTCTTTCTTTC